TTTCTATCAAATCTTTACTTGTAAATTTTACCAATATGAGTAATTTACCACTGGGGCTGTGTTCCCTTTCTATCAAATCTTTACTTGTAAATTTTACCAATATGAGTAATTTACCACTGGGGCTGTGTTCCCTTTCTATCAAATCTTTACTTGTAAATTTTACCAATATGAGTAAGTTATTACTGGGGCTGTGTTCCCTTTCTATCAAATCTTTACTTGTAAATTTTACCAATATGAGTAAGTTATTACTGGGGCTGTGTTCCCTTTCTATCAAATCTTTACTTGTAAATTTTACCAATATAATCATTTAACTTTTATGTAGCAAAGGCAAAACTAATAGTTTTACATTAATACAGAATGGTGAATGTCGGTTGACATTTACAACACTTATTGTATATATGATATTGTCACAGTTTGTTTTTATTGGTCAAATTAACAAACTACTGTGTAATAGATTCAAGGATTTATTTGACCTGTAGAATAGAGAATGAAGTATATGTATGACTGCTCTGGTCAGGTACAAAAGAGAGTCTCAATCTTTATGTTACAGTGAATATAAAACACAATTTAAACAAAATAACTAATCAAATAACTAAACCCGTTTAATAATATAAAATAACTAAACAAATAACTATACCCATTTAATAATATAACTTAATAACAATGTTTAGGCAATTGAATTTAAAAGAATACTTGTAGAATAGAGATACCTGTAGAATAGAGAATGAAGTACTGTATGGTCAGATACAAAAGAGAGAGTGAAAAAGGGCACGGCAAACGACTAAGATCACGTGAAGACGATTCTCATCACGTGAGAGAATGAACCAATCAACCCCCACCAAAGAGGAAGAAAAAAAGAAAGAAGAAATAGATAAATGAATATGGTGAAAAACGGGATTTCATACACCGTCACAATATGAAGATAGAGAATAGGCCTATCTTTCGCGTTCCGCGTGATTGGCCTTATTTTTCGAGCGTGATGCGTTATTTGAACCCAATATTCTGCGTGAAACATGATTCAGGAATTCTTGATGGATCCGGCCGGATTGGCCTGAATACATCTTGGTGATTTTGCTGTTTTAATCTTGGTGATTGGTGATTAAGGGGGGGGGGGGGTATTCCCTTCCCTCTGATATAGCACTTATGTGTAAAATTCTTTAGCTGTCAATCTTTTTCTACATGCCCCTTTACATTTTAAAATAATCCGATTTCCGTCGATTTCTTAAAAGGAGAGTCTTGGCACATCATAAAGCGGGTCGCGGATTAGCGCTGTTTTAAATTTATTATATATTTTCGTATTTTTGCTTGAATACAATTTTTAAAATGATGAAGTGAAGCTCGACGGGGCCACAAGACAAAAACGACAATGTTCTCTGATAAAATACTATTTATAAATATATTCAACAAAATATATATCATTCAGAACATACCCTTTAATAGAATAATTCTAATGTAAACTTTAATTATATCCTTTCAAACATATTAAGTAGACTTACCTGTTTACATAAAATAACTGAAACTATCCGGCTCAAAGCAGCAGCAGTAGTGGAACGCTACCAAACGACGCAGTCGTCTCGTGCAGTCGCCGCATGCATTCGTAGCGTGCATCCGTCGCGTGTAAGACGTCACGTGATATTTAGATGCCAATGAAAATTGCACATTCCGTAACAGGTAAATAGAGATTTTAAAAGCGTGTCATGGTCGTTCTGGAGGTAATGCAAATAGCAGCCACGTACACGAATTTGGCGTGACCATATACAAACTGCATCGCTGGCGGCCCGACAGCGGCCCACCGGTGGCTATCAACGGGAAGTAGCGCTCTTTCCGTCGTCATCCCGCCAACTACCGTACACATCGCTAATGTAGCCTATTTGCGGCGGGTCAACAGCGGCCAGCAAGCGATCGACGTCGTGCCGCCGTAATCATGCTATCTGGGGTTTTAGAGAGTACATATACATGTATCTTTTTCAGCTCAGTTTGTTGCATTAAAATAATGCTCTGGAGTTACAGAAAATTGCATTGAACACTTTTTGAAAAATCAAGAGCTTTTAAAATTTGGAAAACTCGCCGATTCTTGGCTTTTCTTGCTCTCATAACTTGTGTAAGATTTAAAGGCTTCATTATCATACCCCTTCAGATGTCAGTAGCACCATTCTAAGTGCAGGGCTTGCCATCTGTGACATAGAAATGAAACAAGGATGTGTCCTTCTACTATAAATATTATTTTTATGTCACGTATTTCTTTTTTCATGCTTTATTTCTGGTCATGCAAAAGTTGCAAAAATCAATCAATCAATCAATCAATCAATACGCTCATCAGTAAGCAAAGGTGACGCTCAAACAAAAAATGACTAAATTATATTTTCTCAATTCTCTGCTTCCTTTAGTCCGCCACTCTCTGCCATCGCCTACATCCTCTCACACAGTGACGCTGCTTATAGATTGTTGACGCTGGTTTTGACAAGCCTAGCCTTATAATAATAATAATAATAATAATAATAATTATTATTATTATTATTATTATTATTATTATTATTATTATTTAAAAGAATCAACGTGGTTTAATAAGAATTTCTTGAAGACATCATTCGCACTGCCACCTATCGTCATTCACGTCCAACAAGGCGCAGTGCAGACGAATTCTGTTTAAGTGGTTTTGGTCACCAAAAATGATATGAAAATGGTGAGCTAACAGCAAGGTCATCAATGTGATGTTGTTTTCAATGCTTCTTATAATTTGTAGCAATTTAATGAGAGCCTTGTGTACTTCAAATATTTTGTAAAACGTATCTAAAAAGGCATAAGTGCAGCGGCGGCAAAGTGTGGGTGAAACAGTGGCCTCTCGAGTCCCGTCGTCGTCCACCCCAGATGTTCGGGAAGGAGTTGGCTCAGCTGACACCAGTTATCAGTTATAATTTACAGATAAAGAGTTTTGTAGTATTATGGTGCCATTGCAGACCATTAACCATTGAATGTTACGAACACACAACTAGAAAAAGAGGTATTTTATATTTTTAGTTTAAGATAGTGCGGTGATGCCAGCATGTGGACCAGTGTCTCACCTAACAAGAAGAAAAATCTTTCTTTGTGGAGCTGTATCACTGATCACACCAAAGTAGTTCTGATCTTGCTCCTTGCTGTACTCATAGGTAGGAAAACCTTCTTGTTTGATTAAATCAACACATGTAAGCAATATTACCTAGTACATATTTATTTTTTCCTTTAAATTGACATGTAAGTTACAATTATTATAGTGTCTTCAAACCATGTCAGCAGTACTCACAGTTAATATTAAATCTGTATTATTATATTGAAGACCTAGCTTTTATATCATGTCCAGTCTGTGCCTTGAACATTTCAGCTTACTGGGCATTCAAACCACCAGTTTCATTTTATTTACTGGTTCTAATTAAAGGGATAACAACTCTTCATATGAGATCTATATTTCACAATAAAAACATTAAACAATTCATAGAAATATAATGTATTCTGTTTTACTACACAAACAGCAGTTAAAGCAATTATCCTGAAATCTGTGCTTGCCATCAAACCATATTCCCTAAAAAGATGGCTATGCTCTGTAATAATCTCTTAAGTGATTATTAAAAAAAAAAACTTTTTAGAAAAAAAAAAAAAAACAGGGATTAACTTTGAATGTAGAAACGGATTATTAACGACTGGTAAGAAAGGGATAATTGTTTTTGTATCCCAGGAAAATTCATTTTTGACCAAAATGAATAGTTGTTATCCTTTTAAATTTCAGTGGTCCACATTAAAAATTTAGTGGACATTCTTAGTAATAAGTACTACACATCAATGTCATTTATTACACATTTTGGTGTTTTGAAGAATGAGGTTTAATTTGTTTGTTATGAGGTAAGTGAGATGCACTCATAAATATTTTAAGAAAGCTTAAAGGAAAGGTTAGATTGTTAAAGAAAAGAACCTACTAGCCATGTCAGACAATGAAATTCACAAATTCTGAAAAATCTACTGGTCTCTGAGAAATTTTACTGACCGTGGGCATTAGACAAGTGGTTAACATTGCATACTGTATATAAGTACCAAGTGTGGATCCAGGATTTTTTTTTTTGGTATTTTAGTGGATTAACAGTGCCATTTAGTACGGTTTAGAACTATGATTCAGCTAGTCAAAATTCTAATTTCAAGAGGGGGACCAGAAATCGAAGGTGGGGTCTGGACCCCCTGCCCCCCCCCCCTTTAAATCAGCCTCTGAGTACTACTATATGATCACCTTCCTGTTATTCTATACTTCAGATGGTGTGTTCTCCTCTCCCTGCCCCAGTGAATGGACTCACACACCCTCAGTAGACCTATGATCACCTTCCTGTTATTCTATACTTCAGATGGTGTGTTCTCCCCTCCCTGCCCCAGTGGATGGACTCACACACCCTCAGTAGACCTATGATCACCTTCCTGTTATTCTATACTTCAGATGGTGTGTTCTCCTCTCCCTGCCCCAGTGGATAGACTCACAACCCCTCAGTAGACCTGTGATCACCTTCATGTTATATTCTATACTTATAACAAATGTTTTTGTTATGTGTTTTGTTATATGCTATTATGACTAGCAACCCAAACTTGCCGCCATGTTCAATGACAGAAAGACACAATAAAATGAGGAATTATGCATATGCAGAGGCCATTGCGACTAGTTTGTATGGCCCCAAATAATAGCCTCAAAACTAATGGTGATTTCGCCATTAGCGCATGGTCGGGATTTGCAAGGCTTTCGAGATATGGGATAGCGAGGAATTGCCATGCTTGCACCCGCACGCCATAAGCAAAGCTTTCGAGATAGGGGGCCCTGTTTCAGTCTGCGACGTTAAGCACTAGCCCGAGGCAATTGCCCACCTAAAGTGGCAACGGGCTAGTAAAAAAGTTGAAATTTTATAAAGCACTAGCCTGAACAGGCTAGTTGTAATTTTGAACCTATTTTAACACTCAGTAAGATTTCAAAAATATAAGTCGCCAGTCTTCTTTGTCTCTGCCTCTAATTTGACGTTTCTAGAATCTAGAAGATAGTAGTATGATATGCCTGTCAGTTGAAAAAAACTCACACCTAGCTCTAACTACTGAATATTGATTAGTTGCTATAAATAACTTCACTGTAGTTATTTATAGCAGCAGTCTGTCAGACAGTCTGATCAGCATGTCGGCATCTTTTTATTTGACCAGTTTGTTGTCATGACTACAAATTGCTGTCAATCAAGAAACTGGATCAGACCGGAATTCCTTAGTACTAGCAACAGGTTTTGTCAAAACAACACTGTCTCCGTAAGCAAGTGTTATCTCATAGAACATTTTGGTTAGGACCACTTAGCAGACTGAGGGGTGGAGTATTCTATCTCCTTTTTTGTTTATATTTTTTATGTATAATTTTAATATCCATGAGTAAATACATTTTCCTTTGCTTATTGCCTTTTAAAAACAATAAATACCCTATGAACTATTCTTGACAATGTGGGATAGTTCGGTTTATGCCATGGCTACCCCTCCACACTTTGTCCTGGTAAAGTCCTTGAAAAGTTGTTTTTACAAATATATAACCAAAAGAATTGTAACCAAAATTTTAATTACCCTTACAGCACTTATGTATTTTAAATTAGAAGTGGCATTATATACCAATGTAATTGGAAATAAATTGTCAGAAAATAGCCATTGTCAATAAAAAGAATAGGAATTAAAAAAAAAAGATTTTGATTGAATATAAAAAATGAAAAAAAAAGATATTATAAAAATATGAAAAGGGTAACTATATTCAGTATTACAAATTTAGAAGAAAGAATTTTTTCAATATTCAAAGAATTAAATATATTTTTAATTAATTTTACCACCCCATCAACTAGAAATTAACCTGATTGACATTGTTATTCACTTGCTCTGCTTCTGTAATAAGGTTTATAAGAAAGTACACTTAGTACAGTATGGTACCACAACTCTTTACAACATCTGCTTAAACCTTTTAAATGATTATTTAAAGGGATAATAACTCTTCGTATGATATCTGTGTTTCACAATAAAAACATAGTGAACAACTCATAGAAATATAATATATATTCTGTTTTACCATGAAAACGGCAGTTATAGCTATTATCCTGATATCTGAGCTTGTCTTCAATCATGTGACCTCCAATGATGGCTGTACTCTGTTATAATCTCTTAAGAGATTTTAACAAAAAACCAAACTTTTTAGAAAAAAACCAGGGACTAACTTTAAATGTAAAAATAGATTCATTAACCATTGGTAAGTATGGGAAAATTGTTGTTTACTCCAGGAAAATTCATTTTTTGGCCAAAACGAAGAGTTATTATCCCTTTAAATTGGGCTAGTGTTTTTTGGTCCGGGCTAGTAAAGTTTGAGAGTCTGCTAGCCCGAAGGACTAGTAGTCTAAAATGTTTTTGGCACCGACTGCTGTTTGTTTACAAAGGACACAACAGATTGGTTTAAAGTTTGGTTAAAAGGATCTATGGAATATACCAAGACATTTTCTCTTACTTGTATCAAAGGATGAAGAATAAGTTCAAATGCATTTTAACATATGAAAACTGGAATGTAGTCCAGGTAACTCTTATGGCCTAACAGTACCTGTTAAAAGCCCCATGCATGGTACTTTTACCTACTATATAAGGTCCAGCCAGAAAACATATATAAGACCATCTCTTTTGAAAAAATCTGGAAATTTGATACTCCTCCAGTATTGCTCCTACAATGCTTGATATTTACACAGAATTTAACAACTGTGCATGAAAGTAGGGTAGACGAAATCTCCGGTTGATTTATATAGGCCCTATCATTTATTATTTATTTTTTTATTAACTATTTTTAATTTTTTCATTTTGTTTGTTTTCAGCTTTGATATCATTAACTTTTGCCACCGTTCACATTTTATGATGTTTCTGCCTTCTGTAATATTTCTCTTCAGACTTTCTTTGTCCTCGCAATCTTTGAGATGCATTGCTGAAATGCCAATAATTTGGTTTGTCATTAGTAGTCATTTCAATATGCTTTACAGGTAAAAATACCAAAGATGATCAAATTATGTCTTCAAGGTAACTAAAATAAGAGGCATCTTAACCAACATTATTGTCTTGTTAGGCTTCATTCACATGCAATGTCTATTTTCTAAATTTTATGATTTGCCTCATACAAAAGAACGCAGCAGTGCATGGAGATCAATATAATGACTTAACATAGTTGCCAAAGAGGGTGTCTGTTTCAAGCACATGAATCAATTTAATGTGTCCCCCATTTTATTCCCATGCTTACTAAGTTTCAAACCTGCATGTTCTCATAATATGGTTTATGATGAAGGCATCATGGTCTGACATTGTTAGGGTGACAGTTAACCATGTATTAAACGGTTTCCGCAAGTACCAAACATGGATAGGGGCGAAAACTGACTTTGACAAATTTTAAAGGACTTGTCATCTGTGAAGTTAGCCACTGAATTTACTCTAAAGCCAAATATGCAAAGAACATAGTGCAAACATGTTGGAACAGCACCTGTATTTTAGGAGAATTGTTTATGAACATTTTAACCAGTGAAAACAGGAAAAGGGAGGGGGGGGGGGGGTTGACCTAGCTTAGAAAGCGACCAACTTCCATAAGCATAACACTGACTCTCAGTTAATGTTTTTTGTTTTGGTCACATTTAGTGAATTTATATATCCTCGACTACTCCAATAAACTGATATTTATATTTTTTGCCATGATGTGTTTTGATTTTGAATCTCACTACTCCTCTCTTGTTTTAGGTGTGTCAGGCATACCAGACAGCGCTGGGACTGATTTCATGGTGATGTTCACTGAAAACAGAGTGAACGATCAACCCTTCCCATATAATACATCCAATATGACATTATATATAACCCCAATCGATGGAACCAAGGCTGTAACATTCAGCGTTTATTACATACTTCAAAATGATTTGATAAACATCACACGGACGATACCGGCAGGACCCAATACAGCCGCGTCTGTGTTGCTACCCTCAGACTTAGAGGTGAGGACTAGTGGAGTGATATCGAACTGCGGGATCCGTGTAGTGACTTCCGAAAAGATTTGTCTTTCTGCTATCAACAGGAAAGGCCATTCTTCCGACGGTTTTACAGCAATTCCAGTTTCAAAACTAGGCAAGCGGCACTATTCTGTCTCTTACTCCCGACCCCGTGTCTCAACACAGATGGGTTTGGTCGCTGTGGAGTATGACACGACCGTGACCATCACTGTTCAAAGATATGCCAAACTGACTTTTAATAGCATCTCATATTCAGGTGATCAGACGTTCAGTTTTACACTGAACGCCTTTCAAACCGTCTTGTTTGATGATGAGGTTTCGATGTCTGATTTGTCTGGAACGCTCATCGTTTCCTCCAAGCCAATTGGCGTTTTTAGTGGAAATAAAAGGACTAATGTTGGCTACGGAAGATTAACGGAAGACCATTTGGTAGAGCAACTGCCTTCTGTAGAATACTGGGGGACTGAATTCATCGCAGTATCAACGCCCCTCCGCACCAGTGGAGATATCATTAAACTTGTCCTCAGTGAACCCAAAACAATGGTAATGTGGTACGAACATTCAACTACCTCATCCATAACTTTACCTTTAGCTGGTAATTCAAGAGAATTTTATTTGAGTTCTCGTATAGTTAAGGATATAATGATCATTTCAAACAAACCCATAATGGTTGCCCAGATTATTCTTAGCAACAATGATAGATACCCTGAGCCGGGGGATACTTCCCTTACCATTCTCCCTCCCCTTTCTCAATACACCAACGCCTACAACTACGTCGTCCCTCGAATGACAGACCCGACAGATTTAAGCGAACCCAACAAGGGACCTTTCTTTTACTTTTTGACTATCATCATCGAGGACCAATACAAAGATGGTCTGCGGTTGAATGGTAGTGTTATTCCCGGACTTTTGTGGCATTCTATACCTATCGTCCAAGGGAAGCCCAGAATGGTGGCCGTGTCCTTTGAAATTCAACAGAACAACATGAGATACACACTAACGAATGTCAACCCGACCGCGATGTTCAGTGTCCTTCTGTACGGGGCTGGGGACAGGGAAAGTTACAATTACCCTCTAGGATTTAACCTCAATGTGCTGAACCCGGTGAGTAAATGACACTGGATTTTTGTCCATGACATGTTTTAGTTGAGTTTGTTTTAAAAAAATGTCATTTTTTTCTAAATTCCAATAAAGCTGCTATTCAAACTTTTAATCTAGCTGTATAATTTTGATGCAACATTACATAATGCTTAACAGCACAATGACCAATTTTTTTTACAAAAAAAATAAAAGTATCATGGATATTCAGAAAATGTGATATGGGAAGGTCTTCTATACCATGGAAGTTCAGAGTCACACTTTTAAAATGCCAAAATGTAAACAAGAGATAGCTATTACTGAAAAATGGGATTATTTCCATTTACAACACCTTTTTCACATTAAGCAAAATAATCAATTTACTGTCATTTTTAAATGATCAACTAGGAAAACTGTTAACATAGGAAAAATATCAATAGAACAATTTTAAATGTCCAATTTGCTCCATTCAGAGATTCTGAACATTGTGAATGATTGAATCTGACAAACTGTTAAGATATGAGTTTATTTCCATTTTTGACACTTTATTACACAATACACAATAACAGGTTTGCCGTTATTTTTATATAATCAACTAACAATATTGTTAAGATGCAGAAAATGTCAAAAGAACAATTTATCTAAAACTTATCTAAATTAGTTAAAAAATGAGACTGTTAACATGCCTGTAAAAACACTTGTATACATAAAAAAGGCATAACTTGTGGAAAAAAAGTGAAAAAAAAAAAAAAAACAGCATATACTTCCATAAAAATGGCATGATCATGCCAATTTTCGAACTTGACTTGTGTATTATAGATATTCATCAGATTTGTAAGTTTCAATCCAGAAGGAAAAACAGTTTTCCACTTACCATGTTATCGGTGTTGCATAAATGCTGAAAAAAATGGAAAAAACAGCATAACTTTTATAAATATGGCCTGATCATGCTGATTTTTGAACTTGACCTGTGTATTATAGATATTCATCAGTTGTGTAAGATTTAAGCTAAAAGGTAAAACGGTTTTTCACTTATTGTGTTTACAGTGTTGCATATATGCTGAAAAAAGTGGGGAAAAAAACAGAATAACTTCCCTAAAAATGGCCCGATCTTGCTGATTTGCAAGCTTTACCTGCGTATTATAAATATTCATCAGTTCTGTAAGTTTCAAGCCAAAAGGTAAAATGTTTTTTCACTTATCGTGTTTACGGTTAAAATGCACGGCAACGGCGACGACAGACACGGGTGACGGCTATATGTACAGACACATCTGTGTCTGTACATAAAAAATGGCAGAATATGTTTCATGAAGATCAAGAGCATTAATTTTAGCATTATTTCTATAGTTATAGACTTATTTTTATAAATTTCCTTGATTTTATGTAAATATACTAAATATTGTATTCATTCTGTCTTTTTAGCCTGCTCCAGAGGGTAAGTTTGCATCATGCCAGTAATTTATCTTTCTACTTTTTAATCAACTAATCTTTATAAAGACTTATACTATGTCAATATTCCTTAGCACACATATTTTAAAATCGTTTTTTTTTTTTTTTTTTTTTTTTTTTTTTGCTCGGCGGCTGTAACTTTAGCATCGTGTAACACGTGTATCGATTATGACCCGGTTGAGACCGGATTGTGAGTGAAAAGTTGAAAAACTAGGAGAGAGGCCTATTGTTGTATGGGCTGCTATCTTCACTTGCATTTAAGAAAAAAATCCAGATAGAAAATACAAAAATCAAAACTATAATCTTAAAACATACTTTGAAACCAAGGAGCTCCTAATTGTTTGAAACAGTGTTCATAAGTAAAACAGCAAACAAGGTTTGAGGGGATATGCGCATTGTAATAACACACCTTCTTAGAGTTCCTTTTTCACCAGTAAGACAACTGAGACAGGCAGGTATGGTTTACTGCTACATGATTTATTCAGCTGACTGAAGACTCAGGTCTCTGCTCTCTCTCCATCTCTGTCTGTGGTATCTATATCTCCCTAACTCTCTCCCTGTCACTGCTTTTATACAAAAACTTCATTTACATTTTAAATTAACTTCCATGATTGACATGCGTCATGCCATACCTTAAGACCTTAAAATTTAATTGCATCTGTCTACCTAACTCTCTCTACTGACCATTACTACTATGAGTAGTACTACTATTAATATTGCTATGGTCAGCCAGCTAGTACTAGCTAGTGACAAGTGGTAGTACTACTACTGCCCACTACTACTATGAGTAGTACTACTATTAATATTGCTATGGTCAGCTGGCTTGTACTAGCCAGTGACAAGTGGTAGTACTACTACTGACCACTACTACTATGAGTAGTACTACTATTAATATTGCTATGGTCAGCTGGCTAGTACTAGCCAGTGACAAGTGGTAGTAGTACTACTGACCACTACTACTATGAGTAGTACTACTATTAATATTAATTGCTGTGGTCAGCCGGCTAGTACTAGCCAGTGACAAGTGGTAGTACTTTTAGACAGCAAGTTGACTAGTTTGGTGGGTTTAACAAAATGGTTTATTTCTGTACTCTGGTTACAATACTGTACTCAGTTCACTTCGTTCTCCTGTCTACAGCTTTCTCAATCTCTGCCTTCAACCTGGCACCTTTAGCTCGTGTTCCCTCAACTGCCTTCCTTCACTCCCATTCTCTCAACTGCCGGCTATGGTCAGTTCCTATATTTTTATCTATGTTACATGGAAGGTGGAGGCTGTCCAAATTTCTATTGGATAACACTAGTTTTGATGGACAGGTGCCTTTGGTTACCTGACTTGTAATTACTTTAATTGTACTTAATTATGCCCGGTCTCCAGTGGACCTTCTACTTCAAGAGACAGATAAACTGCTACATCCTGGAGTTACATACTGAACAGACTCATGCAAGAATTAATTACTAGTGTAATGTTGCACAAGTGCAATTAACCGGTTTGTCTAGATGCCAATCTGGCTGGCAAGTTTTCTTGTCTAACTCATCTGCCACATGGAGTGGTCACTTACTTGTTAATTACTGTGCCCGGTATCTCTGTTAAACTGATTGCATCTGAAACCTGTTTACCTTGTTTTAGCCTAGTATATCTACACACCTGCATATGCATGCTTAATACGATGAACTATCAGTCTTCAGTATCTGTATGTATTAAAGAATACATTGGAATTGATCTAAAATATAAATTTGTAAATAAACCGGCTAGTACTAGCCAGTGACAAGTGGTAGTACTACTACTGACCACTACTACTATGAGTTCCTATAGGCTCCTTTAGGAAATCTTTTAGGAATTTCTGTAGGAACCTATAGGAAATCTAATGCTAATTCATATAGGGAATTTTTATAAGGCCGGGTTGAATGGAAAATAATGAATCTGGTTTAAATATCAGTATATGATTTTGATTTTTAATTTATGTTCAGACCATTAAAAAAATTCTATAGGATCCTATAGGAAATCTTATAGGAAATCCTATGCTAATTCATAAAGGGTATTTTAATAAGGCCAGGTTGAATGAAAAATAATGAATCTGGTTTAAATATCAGTATATGATTTTGATTTTTAATTTATGTTCAGACCATTACAAAACTTCTTATAGGATCCTATAGGAAATCTTATAGGAATTTCTATAGGAACATATAGGAAATCCTATGTTAATTCATATAGTGAATATTATAAGGCCAGGATGAATGAAAAATAATGAAACTGGTCTAAATATCAGTATATAATGTATTTTTTACTTTTTGTGTGATCATATTCACTTCATATTTCTTCTGTTATATTGAAAGTCAACCTTATCTAATCAGATTTTACTTGACCTTGGCTGTTTAAAAGTGAAAGTGCAATCCTGCCTAATATATAAAATATAATGTAAAAATAAGTGAACATTAAGGTATAGTACTGTCCCTCATAAAGGCTGGAAAATGAGGACAAATTAATATGTTTATAAAGATACATTTTATGCCCTATCACTTGTAAGGTTTAACAGTCAACTGATGTTAGCTAGAGAATGCCCTACTCCACCAGCCATAACCACAGATTCAACAGATGTGAATTTCTTTTGTTAGCCTGGCACCTATTATTAGGTCACTACTCCTGTAGCTATTGTTACACTAGCAATAGTAACCGCCTATTAGGTGTTATCAGATGTGTGGTATCCTGTCTAAGTCTTTGTTTATATGAGACAAGCAGCAAATGCGTATATACGACTTGCATTATTCGAAAGGTGCGATGTGCGCATGGCCGGAATTGTGCACTGCAGGGGTCAAAATAGTACCGGAAGCGTTGTTGACAGCGATAGGAACACATGATGGGAGCATAAGACATGCCGGGGGCGATATTAAACAAGCCATTTGAGGCGACAATGGTGCCGGAGTTTAACGTTGGTTAAAATGTAGAATGCTCACAAATCAGGCAAAAAAGAAGAGCTGATAAAAAAGGTATGTTACACGATATTTTCCTAAGTACAAAACTCTCATGTGGTCATTATGTTATTATGTTCACCTGAGTCATTTATTGGGGAGATAAATCTGTCACCTGGTTCAGGCAATTATCTGATACAATCTTTGAGGTGGGCTAGTGCACTGTACAGATAATAAGTACAAGCTCAATGTCAGTATCAGTGGATCTATCATTTGTTTCTTCTTCATTATCTTTCTGTTCTGTATCCAGGTAGATTTCGGTTAAAAAAAATGACTAATCATGTCAATTTTCCGTTTTGTCATCAGTCTAATATGTATGTATGTAAATAAATCACTGTTATAGATGAGGTGATGATGACTTTAACAATTATTTTCATGACTATGTTTTACTTGTTTTATAGCTGTAAACTGTACAGTGACGATAGAGAGAGAAACAAAATATTGGATCCAGACGGTGGAGTTTGGCAGAGAAAATTAGAAGTAGGCCTACCAGATTGAAGTTTGAATCAAGACAGTGGAGAATGCCCAAACCTTTTTTTTTTTTTTTAATATTTGCCTATTAATAAATACAATTCAAGATTTCGTTTCACAATTTTATTTTGCATAAAATCAATGATGTGGCCTTGGAAATATCTTTCCAAGGTACCTTACGGTATTTCATGTTTTAAAATGCAATGTTTTAAACATTTTCTAGATATGTTCAAGTGCATTGTGATAATAAAAATGTGATATTTGGTAAATTGTTCTCTTTTTTGTTATTTGCATAAGTAATATCCGATTCAATACTCCTTCACAGTCAGGTTTTAACCTGGTTTTTTGTTTTACTCAGATCTAAGCAATGGCGATAACAATACTCTAAAACCAAAGTAAAACTAAAACCAGTTTTCATGCCATTTTTTTATACTGAGGTAATGTCAGGGTATAAAAAGTCATGAAAATTCTAAATTCCTCGTAGGTTTCAAGACCGATGTAAAATTTAACCATTTCAGGTTTGTTGTGCATAGACTTTATGCTGAAAGTGTGTTTGTCAACTTCCTCATGTGCTTTGGACAGTTGTTTCAGCATTTTATGTACTTTTCCTCTGTCACACTATTTCTTTATGCATCTTTTTTTTTTTTTTTGCTCGTTGTAATTCCACTCTTGTTTCCGAAAGTTCAATTTCTAAAGATCCGATTTTCTGTTCTATACTGAAAATAATATGTTGTTTTTCCTTAACTGTCGTTAAAAGCACATCTGAGCCTGCATCTGATACAATGCATCGTGGTCTGTATTTGAGAAGCCATTTCGTCCTCGCTGTTCAACTTCCCACTCGCCGCCAGATTCACTAAAATTTGTTTTGGAGTTATCAACAGTTAAATGTCTTATAAATTTTCTTCTGGGCTTACAAATCTTCGATTCTTTGAGTGGAAATATAGTTGGTCTACCACCCAAATACGATTTATTCCCTCCTTCAAAATGAGCACTACACTCACAGTGATGCTTGGCGGGCTCGAACTTACTAAATTTGCCTTCATTTTCCGCTCGTCCAATATTGTCAATCCATATACCTCTCTCTTTTGGGTCCTTGGGGAAAGCATAAAATGAAAAATTTCGATCTCGCTTCGTATTGTTGAAACAAACAGGCACAAAACACATAGAACCGCCGAGAGGCATTTTATTTCTGTGTACAGAAATGGCGGCAACACAAGATAGGTCCCACTTCACCCACAGTGCATTGCGCTCAATATCGAAAACGAGACGATTAATAATGCAAGTCGTATATACAGCTATCAAGACAGTTTAAATTCAGGAGCATAGTGGAATGGTACAGAGTGTAGAAAAATCGGATTGAGGAAGGTATGTATTACAGTAATGCATTGGATCATTTAGGCATAGCTCTAATCAAATTGAAAATGAGATAATTGATCTAATTTGCAGTGTACCTTGTAAACATCATGTCCATATTACATTAAACAAGTTATAATTTATAATGTATAGCTTCCCTTTTAGCCAACAAAGAAACACTGTTTAGTCTATTTATTTCGTATAAAACTGTGATCACTTGTTCATCAAAATATTTCTTTAAATGCAGTTGAATCTTTAAAAAAAAACAATTTACATTTCATTTAACTTTTGGTTTGTGATTGATTATAAATTATCTATTAATGTTATTCAAGGGACCATCACGATATATAACTGAGAAAGACCCATGCTAATAAATAACATACAATTAACATGTTAGAGAGGCTGTCAGAGCAAATTTCATTACCTCACATGTTCTTCAGGATCGTTTATTTGCCAAGTTTTCTTTCCCTTAATTTCTTTTCAACCCTTAATGTGAGGTAAACACCATAGTTTGTTTAAAAATATTTTTTGCTAACCTATACATAATGGAAATCTGACCATTTTGCTTATATAGAAGCTATAAATTTTAACTTGGGGGTTGCTTTTTTGTTGTTTGGAACGATGATTTAGGTCAAGCAAAGACTGGTGAGAATAGGGAATTACTGTTTACCCTCGGAAATTAGTTTTCCATGAGTTTTTGGGACTTTTTTGGCCCTGGCAGCTCTGTAATGGCCCAATTGCATAATTCACCAGAGTAGAGTTTTCTCCACTGCTGATTTCTGCATTTTAAAATTCGTTTCTGATTGTTCCTGTGGGCTTGGTTCTACGAAATATGTTCATGTTCTTAATATTTTTTTACAAATTATCCAGCTTTAATATCTTGTCTTTGAAAAAAAATCAGTTAACTAATAAAGGCTATGAATTGCTCAAAATACAATGGTGCAATGATTATTATTGATCTCATTAGAAAATCTTTCCTTCATCATTTTGCATTTTTGTAGACATGTACAATTAATTAAAATTCACAATGTCTTTCTTTCAGAATGTGTCTGCAAATGGTTCAACACAATCTAGACGGAGTTTAAGAAGACTATCACAGTAAAGTTGAACAATGTGCAAAAGACTTTTGTCTGAAATTCTTCAATTATTAAGTGACTAAAGCAGTATGCTGACAATGGACACGGTCTGGCCAAGGGAGGTTTTAGCCACTCATTCTGGCAGGAGTTCGAATGCACACAAGAAAAAGACAGTGATGGCACAGCTTGACAAGATGTATTGGATCCTTGTGTTAACTTATAGAACTTATAATTCAAAAGCAGTAGCAGCACCACTGTTAAATTTGCAAAAATCTATGAAACAATTCTCTAGTAAGCTGGTTGCATACCATACTGAATATGTACATACTAGTACATTTATATATATTGAATAAAGAATGTAAAAATGATACTCTCTTTTGTTTTGAGAAACCAGTGCCTATAACCAATTTTGCCAAAGATCCAGCAATATATAAAAAGCGGTAATAATATTCAAAGCAGTTAATATGAATTTCTAAAGGTTCCTATAAGATTTCCTATAGGATCCTATAAGATTTCCTATAGGATTTCTTATAGAATCCTATCAGATTTCCTATAGGATCCTATAAGATTTCCTATAGGATCCTATAAGATTTCCTATAGGATCCTATAGGAAATCATATAGGATCCTATAGGAAAAAGGGACAATTTCCTATAGGAAATCTTATAGGATCCTATAGGAAATCTTATAGGAAATCCTATAGGAAATCCTATAGGAAATTTTCGTAAGGGATATTTTTTGCAAGGTTGAATTTTAGATTTTTGCCCATTGTAATATATAATACATTATGATTTGCCTCAGTTTATGGCCTTACATGCTATAGTACCCTTACAGCAGGTGAGGCTGAACCCTGGTTAGTGTTTCAGACTTTTAAGTACTAGCCGGTGACTAGTGGTAGCACTGGTAGTACTTAAAAGTGTCTTAAACTAAATATCCACATCCTGACAAAACTAGTGTTTATAAAGGACCATTCCCACAGATATCTGGATTGATCAATCTCCCTGTGGAGTCTCACTAAATTCCTATCAAACTATCTGGCTTAAATGTCTGTCACACCTAGTAAAGCTGTTAACAGGGGCGGATTTAGGCCGTCTTCTGGGTCTTCCAGATGACGGTCAGATTTTCAAGTTGACATTGACAAGTATCTATAAGATAATTTGGAAGACTGTCAGTAAATAGCTCTGGATCCGCCCCTGGGTAATTATCTTTACCCCTAGCTGCTTTGTTAGGCACGACAGACATCTAAACATCTGTAGCTGATAGCAATTTAGTGAACTCTCAGGGAATTAGGTCAATCCAGCTGGATCGATCTAAGTATGGGAACCCAGTGTAACACTAGGCAGGGTTAGGTCTTACCAATGGTAGGGGTACTGAGTAAGCATGTAGGACCATAAACTGCGGCAAAATAAGACAGAGGACTATAACCACCAATGATGTCAACGTCTGGTTGATGACCCCTGTAAATTAAAGGTTATCATTTTATTCATGTTCAGTCTCCAAATATAGTAACATTTTCATATTTCCCTTGGACTAGTCATAATATTGTCATTTTCTTACTATTTTTAGTGTGCAGTAGTCAAGCAGTTGATCGCCAATGCATTATCAATGGCAATAACTTTTGTCAAGGTATGATATCCAAATAATTCAGAAAAATTGTCTTGCCAATTAATATGCAAGTCTATATATAATAAAAAAATAAGTAATTCCTTATGTTTAGTAGTACTTACCATCATTTACGTATGACAACCAATTTTTTAAATGACCGCCACCGCTTTTTAAAGTTAGTAGGCTTTTTTTCACCCCATATGAAAAAAATGAATAATTATAAAATCAGGTGCACCTTAACCTGCTCTCAACTATTCCAGGCACACCCTTTGACAATCAGGGTTATGGTTTTGTGCTGATGTTCAGTGAGCACTACACTCAGGTGGGAAACCCATACAATCCCTTCCTGGTCATTACTAATGCTGAAACAGAAAATGTACAGGTAGGATGAAAAGTTATGGACAAAACATGGTATGCTTTTCTTCTAAATTATTAATTTTATATGCCTCATAATTCCCATTTGAATTTTTTTCAAATTTCAAAAAAACTGAACTATACAAAAACTAAAATATAGCCCTCTTGGCTCAAACAGTGGGCATTCTACTGGTAAAAAGTTAATCAAATTGCATTTAGGTAATTGTCCAAATGATAGATCTTGCAACTTGATACCTCTTTTTATTTATTCTGGATGACACAGTTTCACTGTATAGTATTGAGCTATAAATGAGTGTATATACGGTAATGTGCCAAGCATTTCAACGGGCCCAGTCAATCCGACCACAAAAATTATTTTATAAAATTAATTTTTCTGGGATCAAACAATTAGTCCATACGTCAAAATCATGGGGCAGAATTTTTTTCTTGTTCCAATTGTTCGACCACATCGTCGACAAGACTCGGTAAATTTTCAAGCCAGTGAAATAGATGCTGCATGCCTCGGCCCTTTGTCAATTGTTGTCCTTTCAATAGCTCTCGTCAATGAGGAAGAAACAATTAATTGAAGATCTAATCTGGAAGCATGACGTACCTGTCTTTTCCTTTGTCCCCGATGACAATAATAGTGCTTATAGACATACAAATTTTGCTAATTAAGCAGACTTGCCCTCGCTGACTGATTCATCACGCCCGTAACTGGGGAGGGGGGGGGTTAAAAAAAGGTCTATTCTGGATGAAACCAAATATCGACAGTGGGTAGAATACGTCGTAAACACCTTCATATAGACCATATATAGCGTTTGCTAGCAATAAAAAGTTTGGGAAGAATAAGCAATTTATTTTCAAGTTTGATTGAAATATATATGCAGATGGGGAAACGTTCTTGAAGTCAACACCGCAAGATCTTACATTTACTACAATCGACCGAAAGATCAGCAGGATCGACCGCCCAGACTTCTTGGCGCCAAATACCACGCGCTGTCAAAATCTGACAAACACGTGTCGCTGTTCACCTGCATGGATAACTGATTTGTCAACAATAAAAATGACGTCTTCTTTAACTCCATGGGAGCTTCATAGAGAGTTCCACTGGGTATTTACGTTACCTGTGAGTCACTTTCTATTTCCCCAGATGCATGAAATGTTGATCATATTTAGCATAATCCACGACGAACTCCATTCCTGTGACCCCCCTCCCCCAAAATGGGACAGTCTTTATTAACATGTGGTTTGCGCTATGCTGGAGCAGGCCAGATAAAACCAGTCTCTCATTTCTGCAAGTGCTCAATTCTCACTTCAAATTATAAATGCACATGTTTTGTGAAAATTATGGCAAGTAAATGCTTTTTTTTACGTTCAGGTTTTATCAGTGGGGTTTTCAATATGCACCGTGGTTTGTGCACAGCGAGAGTATATAAGTAAGAAAATCGGAAGAGTGCAAGCAAGATACTGTATGTCTATCGGCACAGGTACGCTCCGTATTTTGCCTTTTCTCAATATGTTTTTATATGACATGCTTTTTAAATAAAATACTTAATAGTAATTTGAAGTTACACTGATTTCCGTTTGAGTACCAGTTGGTATTCTTTGATATGGGTGATTGAATTTTCTTCGGAAGTACGTACGTCTACGCCTCGACGCTGAGCAAGCCTTGCGGGTTGAAAACAACTGATCTCAGACTGGTAAAAAGTTTCAATTCGGTTGATTTCAGTTGTCATATTAAAATTCAAATAGGGCGTACGTAAATCACATAACTAGTTTAAGTCCACTAAAGCTACCGGTTTCAAATATAAGTGACCGGCCTTTGTTTACAACACCTGTCTCCGGGGAAATACTCGTCCCACTTGTGAAGCGCATCATGAAAGTGATCGTAGGTGAGGGAAATATATAATTAAAAATTATAATTGTCGTCTTTTTTAATGTTAAGTAATGTTAGCACATATTGTACACAGCAAAATAAGATTTCAGGAGGATAAAACATGCCTGAAACACGTGTTAGGCGAAAATTGCGGCTTATCTTGCGTAACACTTCCGGTAAAATGCAATACTTCCGGAAAGATGGACGTTTTAGCAGATGCCCTTAACAATCCGACGATATCAAAGGTTTCCGTTTGCTGTATTTTAATCAATTCGACCAAACTGACATTTCCATGAAATTAATTAATTAATCTTGGTCGAATTGTTTGGCATATTACCGTATTCAACTAATAAACCCCAGCCTAACCAATTTAAAAATTACCTTTAGGTGAATGTGATAACGCCACGCTGGAGCAGCCCAAGTGTAAATGAGCAATTCACGTTGGCCACTGGTCAGTATCGTACCGTGAGTATTCCACAAGAGCTCCGCATGCAGCAGTCAACTCTCTCCACCAAGGCCATCTTGGTCCAGTCAAGTGGGGAGGTAGTTGTCCAGGGTGTGAATTCTGAAGAACACTCTACGGGCATGTTTCTTGCTCTTCCAATTGATGCTGTTGGCAGTGAGTATTATGCAGTGTGTTACAGTCCTGCTTTCCTTCATTGCCAGTTTGGTATTGCTGCAATACAAGATGGAACAGAGGTCTCGATATCTTTACCTTCTCCACTGCCTTCTGGTCAAATTGTGCAGGTGACTTTTCAGGGCACAACATACTATAGTGGACAAACAATCCGCCTGACCCTCAGTGCCTATGACACTGTTCAAATACAGGCTGCTCACGACCTGACTGGCTCTCATGTCATAACCAACAAACCTGTGAGCTTCTTCAGTGGGAACAGGCATACAAACATAGACCGAGGGTTAGGTGGACAAACAAAAGATCACACTGTAGAAATGCTCCCACCAGTATCTGCCTGGGGTAAAGAGTTCATCACTTTCCAAATTCCAGACGGGACAGTATCTAATCCTGGGAACAATTTCAGAGCTGTGGTTCCCAGATTCAGTCAAACACCACAACTCGACCTGACAGTGGGCTCCAACCACATATACCCAGCAGTGCCCAATGGGTTTTCTTATGCCCAGTTCCTGGTTGGCCAAGGAAGCCAAAACACTTATGCCTATCTGTCATCAAACACTCCAATAATGTTAGCTGAATTCATTGTCAGTATGATAGGTACCAGTGAGGTAGCCGGTCCTTCTATGATTTATCTGCCACCTATTTCATTGTACAGGAATGAATACACATTCACTGCCTTGGAAAGATCTCTCAGCACAAACAAGGTTTTTGTGAACACAGTTATTATTGTCAGTCCTTTGTCAGGTCGTGGTGACATCACATTGGATGGGAATGCCTTACCAGCAATTACCTGGACCAATGTCGATGCAGGGGGTGTCATGTACAGTGCCGGCTTCTTTACTGTCAGCGCTGGCTTTCACAAACTGAGTCATCCCAAAGCGAACCATTATTTTGGTGCAGTGCTGTATGGAATTGTTTTGAATGATACAGTAGCCTCAGAATCCTATGCTACTGCTATTGGCATGAGGCTGTCCAGGATTAATGAAGTAAGTGTAAATCCTGAGAAGTACAAATAATACTTGTTTCATTGTAAGGTACATGTGAAACAACTTTCCAAGGTTTTTTAAATATAATTATAGATATAACTATCAATAATTATAATTTGGATTATTTCTTCTATACATTGCCTTGTCCTATAGTAAGTGAAATGACACCTAAGTTATTCAATTTTATATTATTTGTAGCCTTGTGGATGCAGTGTCCAAGCCCAATTTCAAGCAGCTGGCATAGACAATGATTGTGATGGACGGGTTGATGAGGAAGACTGCAGTGATGCAAATACAGGTATATTGTTTCAATGATTTGTGTTCATGCATATTTTGGTATATAAGTTATAACCCTGATTTTCTTAAATAGTTTGGAATTTTGAAAACCTCATGTAAGACTTGTGTGACTTTTACCTATTTAATTAATTATGTTTGGAATGTACTTCTTGTATCACTGTGGGTAAACTGTACTTCAAAGCATGTTACAGTATGAGCCTTTTTCTTTGTCAGATGAAGATGGTGATGGAAGACAGAATGAGGATTGTGCAAAAGGTATGAGAGTCTTTCTTTTTTAACCATGGGTGGATCTACTACATCTAGGGTTCCCTTTGTGTGTGTGTGTGTGTGTGCATGTAGAGTGAACATTTCATACCTCCCCACCTCCAAAAAAATAAAAAAAAGGCAGAACATACTGTTGCACAACTTTATTTTGTCATTTTAAGGTTCACATTTAGCAAAATTATAGCAACATAATGACCTGAAATCAAACATAATCCAAAATGTGTTTTCAACAACCTAGGATTAATGGGTGTTTGGTTGCATTACATAATTATTTATTTTCAAAAGCAATCTAGTTAATGTCAACTTTTTCACATGCCCCAAAGAGGCAAAAAAAAAAAAAAAAAAAAAAATCTTAATGTTCTTTGAACAACAGTCAAATATATTTTGCTGTATATATGAAGTAGATGGCCAGTGGTCTCATATTTTGCTGTATATATGAAGTAGATGGCCAGTGGTCTCATATTTTGCTGTATATATGAAGTGGATGGCCAGTGGTCTCAGTGGTCTCATATTTTGCTGTATATATGAAGTGGATGGCCAGTGGTCTCATATTTTGCTGTATATATGAAGTGGATGACCAGTGGTCTCATATTTTGCTGTATATATGAAGTAGATGGCCAGTGGTCTCATATTTTGCTATATATATGAAGTGGATGGCCAGTGGTCTCAGTGGTTAAACTGGGGCACCTGCTCAGTAAGCTGTGGGGGTGGCAGTAGGAGTAGGACCAGGTCCTGTAGTGATCCAGTACCAGCATTTGGTGGCAGCCCGTGCCCAGGATCACCTCCAGACACACAGACTGATACGGGGTCCTGCAATACTAATGGCTGTCCAGGTAATATATATACTCAAAGCCCAAGAGATAATTATATGCTGAAAAAAATGGATATTAACTTAATTCAATAAAGTAAAAAAAATATATATATTATTAATTGTGTATAATAAAGGAACTCTTGTAGTACTCACCATTAGCTGATTAAACTGATATATAGTAATAATTGGCATGCCTTCTTGCACACTTCCAAGTGAATGGGACCTGGATAGTGTGGCAAGCATGGAGTGCTTGCATTGTAAACTGTAGATCAGGTCGTGCGGTCGCAGTTGTCCTCCACCACAAAATGGTGGTAGTTTTTGTTCAGGCAGCCCCACAGAGAATGAGAACCCGTAGCAAAATTTTAAACTTCCCGCACACTGTTTCTGTGTATGCGCAGCATATTCACAGTAAGGGTTTCTGCGCATGTGCAGCACACCTCATTTGCATGGTAAAATACACACCTACCGCACACTCCTTGCACATCTCCTGCACACTTCCTGCACACCCCCAACGCCACAACCAGCACAGTTCTTGCATACCTCTTGCATACTTCTTGCACACCTCCTGCGTACTTCTTGCACACCTCCTGCGCACTTCTTGCATGCCTACTGCATACTTTTTGCACACCTTCTGCGCATATCTTGCACACCTCCTGCAAACTTCTTGCACACCTTCTGCATACTATTTGCACACCTCTTGTGCAGTTAATGCACACCTCCTGCACAGTTTTGGCATACCTTCTTGCACACTTCCTGCACACTAATTAAAATATTTTATAACATGATTTAAATTTTACGTGCTTGTTTTTCAGTCCCTTTATATTAATTCTACAAAGAATTAATATAAAGAATTACACTAAAGACATGTGCCAACAACTTAAAATTTTACTAAGAATGTTAGAAAAGTTAATATTATTCTTTAGAATCTGTACTGTCATTGAACAGAAATATTGTTAAATCTGTTTATCAACAACAAACAAGAAATTACAGTCATATATTGTGCTTTATCAATCAAATTAAAAAATCGAACAAAATTAGCAAAATCCAAGCCATGTCCATATTTCTCTTCTTTACCTCTTTCTACCACATTTCTCTTCTTTACTCATCCTGTCCTGCTCCGTCCATCTAAAAAAATAGTAAACCGTAAAGTCCTACAAATTCACCACACTGCGCACAATGCTTAACATCCAAATCTTAAACATCCATGTGGAGGACAAAAAACATCAATATACACATTACTGTTTGATAAGTCCTAAAATCAAGTTCAAGTGGTTATTGTTCATATAAAGAAGAGGTAGAAAGGAATGCATAAAAAATGTCTTGGATACTAAAAAACAAACAAAAACAAAGTGCTAAAACTGCTTTGAAGAATACTTCATGTACATTCCTTACATATTTATGTGATGTTGAAAGCTTATGGTTTATGGCTGCATTCACTTATATCCAACAAAATTTAAAGTATTGTTAAATGATATAAATATAATCAACTTGCAGTTAGTGATGTTCTCTTTTAAAACTTACTCTGCACAGCTCTTTCAACTAGATAATCCTTCACAAAAGAAACTGTTGCTGACAGTTCTTGTGGGCTGAAAAAACTCTCTAGTAACTTCTTTATCGCAAAGGTACTTGTATACTTTGTGTGAGTTTTGATGAGCCACCAACTATAGATATTCACAGCAAAGTCTGTCCCTTCTATTTATAAGCATGCAGTAGGAATGGGTTTCAGATCTGAAGGATTTCAAATATACATCAACATGTTTGAAATATGAGTATGTATATTGATTCGGCATATTAGAGACACTAACATGAGTCAATAGTGATGATATAAGTTTGTTTTGCTAATTTGTATATTAATTCAGTGCACCATAAAATAGTTTTAGTACTCTCAGTTCATTTGAAATTAATTATCTATGTATGTGATTCTAGTTGATGGTGGCTATTCAGACTGGAGTCCTTGGAGCACGTGTGCAGTCACATGTGGTGGTGGTCAGCAGACCAGGCAGAGGACATGTACCAATCCAGCTCCTCAGTTTGGAGGTGCTAGTTGCTCTGGACCCACATCAGAATCTCACACTTGTAACAGTCAGCAATGTCCAGGTAACATGTAACAGTCAGCAATGTCCAGGTAACATGTAACACTCAGCAATGTCCAGGTAACAT